CGCCACAACTACTGAGCCTGCGCTCTAGAGTCTGCGAGCCACAACTAGTGAAGCCCGCACGCCTAGAGCGCAGGCTCAGTAGTTGTGGCGCATGGGCTTAGTTGCTCCGTGGCATGTGGGATCTTCCCGGACCAGGGCTCGAACCTGTGTCCCCTGCATTGGCAGGCGGATTCTTAACCACTGCGCCACCAGGGACATCCCCACTGTGGGGTCTTATCCTCCTCTTTCCCTGCCCGACCCTTCTGCTTGCTCCCTGCGGTAGTTGGGGGTGAGGGCGGGTGGAGGCCTAGAAGCAAGTAGCAAGAATCACCCAGAGCATTTTGAACCTAGTGGATCTGGAAATTTGAACTGCCCCCCCACCACCCCCAGAATTTTTAAATAAACCTTTTAATCATACGCTGGCTTATGTAACGGGGTCAGACATGAAGCAGCCACGCAAGCACAACAAAAGGATCCACAGCTGCTCCTGTGGGCGCCACTGGTCCTGCTGGTCTCCAGGCCAGGGAGTGACGTCCTTGGCCCAGAGCCAGTAAGGGAGGCAGGCAGTGGTCCCCAGGAGCTTGCCCAAAATCTCCCTGTGCTGTTGCAGGAGCTGCATGCCATCTTCCCATGGCTGGTTGAGAGCATTTTTGGCAGCTTGGATGGCGTCCTGGCTGGGTGGAACCTCCGCTGCTTGCAGGGCCGCGTGAGCCCTGTGGAGTACAGTATCGCCATGGAATTCCTAGACCCCGGGTAGGTTGGTCTGTTACCCCAGAGGGACTGGACTTTCTCTCACAGTGATCTTGTTTGCAGTCACTTTTAAGGAACCGTCAAAGCAAGATGGTTCACGGTTCATTTGCCCTGTTTTTGTTGTTCATGTTCAGGGGCCCAATGATGAAGTTGGTTTATAAACTTCAAGCTGAAGACTATAAATTTGATTTTCCTGTCTCTTACCTGCCTGTAAGTAAGCTATGGTGGTGAGAGCCAGGCTTGGGGCCGGGTGCCCCACGCAGTGGCTGCAGTGCTGGTGGGTGGGCAGGGGCCTGCAGGGCTGTGACAGTGGCCGGAACGTCATGGTATCTTTTCAGGGCCCAGGAGCCATCACAGATTGGAACTTCAATGGTTTTTTTTTTTTTTCAAAGGTCATCTGAACTCTGCCAGTGGGAGGGCCTGGTTGGCTCCTGGCTGAGTGGCAGGGCCACATGACTGGTAGCTTTGTCTTTCTGAGTTTCCAGTCCTGTGGGGGCGAATTAAGGGGTGGCTCACTCATGGGTATGAGAAACAAAGCAGACAGGATCCATCGAGTGCCTGGCTGGGTCAGAGATGCACACAGCTGCAGCCCCACTGTGGTGGGTCTGTGTGAGGACGAAGGGACAGAGTCTGTGTGAAGCTTTTTTGCACAAGCACCGCACAGAGGACAGCACTGTTCCCCAGGGGGGTCTGTGTGTTGGGCTCCTCGGCAGCCTTCCCAAGGGCCACCTCTGTCTGTCCACAGGACCCTGTGAAGGCGTCCATCCAGGAGCGTGTTCTCCCCGACAGCCCTCTGTACCACAACAAGGTCCAGCTCCCCGCAACCGGGGGCCTTGGCCTTCACCTGGCCCTCAGTATCCTTTGTCGGCCCCGCGGTGGGGGAGGCCGGGCGGCCAACACAGAGCTGGGTGGGGGGCCCCGACAGCCCTGTCATTTGCCCCCTGACATGGCCCTCAGATCCATTCGAGTATTACATGTTCTTCTTTGCTTTGAGCCTCATCACTCAAAAGGTACAGAAGGGGTGCCTCTGAGCTGGGTTTGCTTTACTGAAGCCCCCGTGCAGGGAGGGGCTGAGGCCCAGGGCTTGTGTCCACACAAAGAAGGGCTGGGCCAGCCGTCGGCCTGCCTTCCTCCATTTCTCCTCCCTTTCCTACCTCCTTTCCCCGGGTCCCCCTCCCTCCAGCCTTTGCCCCTCAGGCCACCCTCACTTAGTGAGGATGACAGGCTGGGGGCAGGCTTGATGGGCCATGTGGGGTGGGCTGGTGCCCTGAGTGGTGGTCAGGGAGGCTTTCTGTAGGAGGTGGCTACTGGTGTGGGCAGGGTGGGGGGATGGGGGTGTGTGTGGGCTGGTCAGGACTGAGGGGTCTAGTCAGGCCCTTTGTGGTGGGGGCTTTTCTCCTGGCACCGCCCTGTGATTGCTGGGTCAGCAGCCTGGGGCGGTGCCCACAGCCATGTGCTCACAGGAGCTTTGCTTTCCAGCCGCCCCCCGGGGCCCTCCACGTCCGCACTTCAGACTGCGCCTACTTCATCCTGGTGGACAGGTACCTGGCGTGGTTCCTGCCCACAGAAGGCAGCGTGCTCCCCCCTCTCTCCTCCAGCCCGGGGGGGCCCAGCCCCTCACCGGCTCCCAGGTGAGTGGCTGAGATGGCCTGAGCCCAACACTAGGTAAGGCCTGGCCCTTCCTGGTTGGAGGGCTTTGCTCATGGGGACAGTGGTGCCGCTCCTTGTCTGGAGCACTTGCTTTTTTTAGGCCTGAGATTCTGCAGCCCCAGCTGAGCACAGGCTGGAGGGCGGGGTGAGGGGGACGTCTCTGAAGCAGGCAGGTTCTGTGGCCCTGTGGACGGGGCCTGGCTCTGGTATGGGAACGGGCCGTGTTCTGCTTGTGGCCGCCCTCTCCACACGCGGCACCCAAGCCCCATGCCCAGCGGTGAGCAGGGTGGTGAGGGACTCAAAGCCGAGAGCTGATTGGCAGCGCTGGGCGATTGGTCCTGGAGAGGAGGGGCTTGTGGGCAGCGCTGAGCTGTGGCCAAGTGAGACTAGCAGGGACCTGTGGACTCGGGGACCAGGCCTTTGCTGAGCCAGGGCCTGTGGTAAAGAGCCGCTGGCACGGGCAGAGCAGGAGGGGAGCGTGAGGCCGGCCTGTCCAGGGGTGAGGAGCCTGTGCTCCTCTGGCCCTTGCCTCACTATCCCCCGCTCCTTCCCTGGAGGCTGCAGCTCTTTCCTGTAGGTGCTGTCCCCCCACATCTGCTGGCACGTGCTGTGCCGTTACCCCAAACTCGTGTGGACAGAAGCTCCCAAGGAAAGGGGATGGCGAAGAGGAGTGCGGGGGAGGGGCTGCACAGGTGTTGCTGATGCTGCGGCCTGGGGAGTGGGGGCCAGGGATCTGGGGTCGGGGGAGGACCCAAGTGTGGCCTGGATTCACACCCCCTCAAAGGCAGACTTCAGCTGCTAGGCAGTTTTCTGGGCTGGATTTGATTTGTTTTCACAAAATAATTTCAGATTTTACACATTGCTACATATAACAAAGAACTTTCACAGGCCCTTCATGCCTGTTGATTTCCGAGTTGTTTTATTCTGTTTAATCTGTGTGTGTTTTTTCCTGGGCCATTTGAGTAAGTTATAGACACGACGCCGTTACCTCTTAACATTTCAGGGTGTGTTTTCTGAAAGTGTGTGCATCTCTGTAACCACGGCCATTCCGTTCAAATCAGGAGGCAGTGTTGCTGCCAGGCCACCATCTCATCCCCAGACCCCACTTGGGTTTCACCAGCTGCCCCACTCATGGCTGTCACGCAGCTGGGTTCCGTGCAGGGTCATTTCCCGCATGCGGCTGTCTCTCTGTTGTCCAGAAGGTCCCACAGCCTTTCCTGACCTTGACAGCTGGTGTGTGCACAGTGGGTTCTTGGGTGTTTCCCATGATTAGGCCCAGGTTGGGCATCATTGGCGGGGGCACCGCAGTGGCGGCCGTGGTGCCCATGAGCCCACTTGCTGGGCTGAGGGTGATGCCAGGTTTTCCTCCTGTAAAGTTAACGAAGGTCTTTGGGCCTCAATTAGTGAACGGGGGACTTAGTGGGAAGATCCACTGAGCCCCCACTCTTGTCAGCAGTGTCGGCATCCCTCATGGTCTTCATTTCAGCCAGATCCATTGTGAATAGGGTGGTTGGCAAACAACGCTTTTCTGGTCTCACCCGTCCTGCATTTATCAGTGGGCAGATGTGGATGGAAAATTCACTCTTCTGTTTGTTTATTCACACATAGCAACGTGGACTTGAGGGTCGTTGGACACTTCCACGGGTTGTACTTGTCGCTGCTCTCCTGGGTTTGAGGCCCAGATTGCCGTGGCCACACCCGTGGGAGCCTGCCGACAGAGATCTTCTTCTGTGTCTCCCTCAGGACGCCAGCCGTGCCTTTTGCGTCCTACGGCCTGCACCACACCAGCCTCCTGAAGCGACACATCTCTCATCAGACGTCTGTGAATGCAGACCCCACCTCCCACGAGATCTGGAGGTCGGAGACGCTGCTCCAGGTGAGAGCCTGGGTGCCTTCTCTGTTTCTGTTTCAGATAAACTGCTCAGCACTGCGCACCCCAGGGTGCAAGGGCCTAAAGACTGCCCCTTGGTCTGGGGGTGGCTGTCAATTGTTAGTGTCTCTGCTGTGAGTGATGAGAAAGAATTTGCCCACCTGTCTCACCTCTGTGTTACTGGCAGTGTTTTCACCCTGGGACCCCCTGTCCACAGAGTCCTATTTTATTGTGGTGACACAATGGCTGCGCAGCCTTTCACTTTCCAGTGGCTTGGGTCACCCTCTCTGACCGCTACCGTGGTTTGGGAGGGGTGGATAGTAAGCCCTGCTGCAGCAGCGTGTTTAGGGCACTGAATGGGGGGGCCTCCCCTTGCTCAGCAGGACCCCATCCCCTCCATGCCAGGGGGCCCCAGTGGGGACGGCAGTCCTGTGTGTGACCTTATGCGGCTCCAGCAGACCCCAGGCCTGTCTCTTCAGCGCCACCTTGGAGATATTCCGCTGTTCTGATGCTGGATTCCAGGGCTGAGTGGGTCACCACAAGCATGGCTTGTTGAGAGCCTGGAGTGTGGATGAGATGGGGTTCTGATTTTATTTGGGAACTGAGGTAAAATACACATAATGTAAAATCTAAGTCTTAACCATTTTAAAGCATATAGTTGAGTAGCGCTAAGTATGTTTACATTGTTGTAATGGGTTTTCAGAACCTTCCTATCCTGTAAGACTGAAAGTCTATACCTGTCAAACAGCAGCTCCTCAGTCCCCCTCCCACCAGCTCCCACACCCACCACCCTGCTTTGTTTCTGTGAATCTGACCCTTCTCGTTGCCTCTGTCAGTGGAATCACACAGTATTTTTCTTTTTAATGACTCACTGGCTTCACTCAGCATAATGTCTTCAAGGCTCATCCACGTTGTAGTATATGTCAGAATTTCCTTTTTAAAGCTGAGTTAAATTCTGCTGTGTGTGTTTAACTATGTTTTGTTTATCTGTCCATCTGATGGACACTTGGGCTGCTTCCACCTCTTGGCTGTGGTGAACATGAGTGTGCAGTTCTCTCTTTAAGACCCTGCTTTCCGTCCTCTTGATTATCTGTTCTGAAGTGGGATTACTGGGCTGTATGGTAATTCTGTTTAGTTTTTTGAGGACCTGCCATGCTGTTTTCCATGGTGGCTGCACCATTTTTCATCCCCACCAGCAGTGCACAAGGGGTCCAGTTTCCCCACACCCTCGGAACACTTGCTGTTTTCTGTGTTTCTGACTGTGGCCACCCTAATCGTCGTGACTGGTCTGCTCTGCCCTGGTGATGTGGTGCTAAGCAGCGTTTCACGTCCTTGTTGGCCACGTGTGTATCTTATTTGGAGAAACGTCTATTCAAGTCTTTTGCCCATTTCTGAATTGGGATCTACTTTGTTGTTGACTTCTAGGCATTCTCTATATAGTCTGGATGTTAATCCTTTTTCAGATACATGATTTGCAAATATTTTCCCCCATTCTGTGGGCTACTTTTTTACTACGTATGTTGTGTCTTTTGATGCACTAAAGCTTTTAATTTTCATGAAGTCCAGTTTTTTCCTTTGTTGCCCATGGTTTTGGACTTACATCTAAGAAATTACTGTCAAATCCATTGTTGTGAAGCATTCCCCCACGCTTTCTTTTAAGGCTCTACAGTTTTAGCTCTTATATTCTAGGTCTTTGATGCATTTTGAGTTGTTTCTTGTTTACGATGTAGAGTGAGGGTCTGACTGTGCTCATTTGCATGTGAGCACCCTGTTTTCTCAGCAGCACATGTTGAAGAGGCTGTTCTTTCCCTCATTGAATGGTCTTGACGGCCTTGTCAAAGACCTTTTGACCAGCTGTGCTCTTTTGCAGGTTTTTGTTGAAATGTGGCTTCATCATTATTCTTTGGAGATGTACCAAAAAATGCAGTCCCCTCACGCCAAGGTATGTTGCTGCCACGGTTTATCTTCCCACCTCCCGCGCTGGCCCTGGTCAGCCTGCTGCTGCTTGTCCTTGATTTCAGTTAGTTTCAAGGACTGGCTAGTGGGACCCAGCAACCTGACATCTTACCTCCCTCAAGTGCTGAGCAGCAGGCAGGTTGTCTTCTGTGCTGGGCTTGCACCCTGGCGGCTGAGGCCCGTTGTCTCTGGGCCTCCCCATGCTACTTGCAGAGCCCTCTCCGTGGCAGCAGGAACAGATGTGTTTGTGGTGCTCGTGTTCTGGGGCGTGGGAGCCGTGGGTGCCTTTGGGAGTCACAGCGCCTCCTGCTGTCCTGCTGCGGTGGCGCCCAGCAGACTCTGCCCACCTTGGTGGCCCTGCTGCCCTCCACGTCCTCCAGAGCAGCGGCAGCAGCCCTCCTGGTGGTGGGTGGGGTCTGACACCCTCCTGCATGTGGCCTGGGCTGTCTCCTCCTCCTCCTCTCCTTTTCCTCCTTCCCTTGCTGGGCAGCTCACGTGTGTGCAGAGGCCTGGAGTCCCTGGCCCCCTCCCGGGGTTGTGGCCACAGGGCTGGTCGGGGTAGAACAGTTCTGTTGAGTTAGGGAGAGGTGCTCAGGTCCACAGCCTGCGCGCAGGACTGCAGTGTGCCACTTCCGTGCAGCAGTTTGCTCCTTAGACTTTGCTTTTGCCGCTGCCAGTCAGACTCCTCAAGGGCTTCCTTAGGAATTAAGAATCTGTGGGTCACATTGGAACAGTGGCCTGTGCCCTTCCCTCGGTGGTCCTGCTCCCCAGCCCAGGGTTCTGCCGCACGGAGGACTGGGACGCAGACCCAACACTCCTCTTAGAGCGCAGGGTGTCCCAGCCTCCATCCTGGCCCCGCACAGGAGGAGGAGGAGGAGAACGGGGGTGGGGCCGGGAATCCATCCTGGGCCTCTCGCGTCGCAAAGTGCCCACCATGCCCCCGTCTGCTTCCAGAGTGCACTTGCTGCTGCACGTTCCTGCCGCTGCCCGGCGGGCAGGGCTGGCTCCCCTGCGGGGCGTGCGGGGCTTGGTCTCGCAGAGGCTGCTTCGCGGTGTCACCTTCCTGTCTGCACGTCTGTGTCGGGAGCCCGGGGTAGCCCACCCGCTTCAGGTCTTAGCCGTAGCTCTGCCGGCCAGAGGGCCCTTCCGAGCTGCTGGTCACCTGGGGGAACACCGAGTCCATATGGGGAGGGGTCTTCCCACTCCTCCCCATGGTCACAGGAGGGTGAGGGCTGCTCAGGTTGACTTGGGTCGGTGCGGGGGGGGGGCACCATGAAGGCCCCACCAGGCGCCAAGAAACCTTCTGCCGTTTGCCACCTGTTGAGGCCGAAAAACAAAACCTGAGGAGGCGGGGTGTGTGGGAAACCGCGGGGTCTGCTTCATCCAAGGCCCCTGCCGTCTGTCCAGGCCTGCCCCACACCACGTGGAAGTCCTTGCTGGCCCCACGTAACCCTGGGGTCAGTTTGCCGGGTTTTCTGGGTGCAGGAAGTGCAGCTCCTGGAGCTCCCTTCGTGTGGCTGTGGCCGGGCTGGGTGCAGGCGCATGCACGCTCCCTGCAGGGTGCTCTGGGCCCGGGCTGGGGCCTGAAGGGGGACCGTGGGCTCCCCATTTCCTTGCTGAGTGCGGCCGTGCCCCTTCCTGCCCCAGCCCTGCGTGTCTCTGGCTGTGCCTGTCTCCCCAGCGTCTGGCACGTTCCTTCAGGCCTCTTCTGTGTGAAGCATGGCGCTGGGGCAGGAGGCGGGCCCTCATGGGGCAGGACATGTGCTGGGCCGGCTCTGGCTGTGCTTAGCTGCAGGGAGATAGGGTGGAGGTTCTGGTGTTGGGGGCGGACGGTGTGCCAGCTCAGCTGTTACCCCTGGCCTCAGGGTTCCAGCTGCCTCTGGGTGTGTGTGGCTTAGTGTCTGGGGGCTCCTGGTGAGGTAGAGGGAGGTAGAGGTTGGTCTTACCAGAATTAGAACCAGTAAGTGTTAGCACCACGTTAACCATTTCCAGGATGTGGGGCCTGGTGCCCCGTGCACAAAACCTTTCAGGATGGGACTCTGGGTCTTTAACACGTAGGAATTGATTCCATCATGTGCTGATAAATTTCTTTTCCGGACAACCCAGGAAGTCCAATAAATTACATATTTTTCTCTTCTGGGCAGAGGCCTCCATCTAGAACTGGCTTCTCAAGTTTCTTTACTGAGCCTGGGTCTTCGGGCCTTGGTGACCAGCAGCGTGTCCAGGGAGGTGGCTGGGCTGCTGACATGTGCTGCACCCAGTGCAATGGGGTCGGGCTGACCTCGGGGGCTGGAGGGGCCTCCCAGGTGACCTTGCGGTTCTGTCCTCCCTCTGCCTGGCAGCTGGAGGATCACGCCTGGAGGGGGTGGTTGGCGTCTCATTGGCCTGATGCTGCTGGGCTGTGATTGTTTGGATTGTCACTGACTTGTGCTTTTGTTTTTTGTTTTTCTTGTCCTTACTTCTGGGCTCTTTCTCACTATTTCTTTCTCTCCCCTCCTCCTCCCCCCGCCCTCTCTTCTCGGCTTCTCTGCTGTTGTCTCTCAGCTGGAGGTCCTGCACTACCGACTCAGTGTCTGCAGCGCCCTCCACAGCCCTGCCCAACCCAGCCTCCAGGCCCTCCACGCCCACCAAGTACTGGCCGCTTTCGTTTTGTTCCCTTTCACCCCCGCCCCATGGTTTAACCCCAGAGCTCATGTCCTGCGCAGTAGCCAGGGTCTGGCTGGGGGCCGGCTGGGGTGACCAGAGACCAGTTCCAAGCACAGCCAGGCCCTTCGGCCTGGACCTGGGTTCAGGGTGTGTGGCCCCATGGCTGGGAGTGATGCACAGGATCCCACTGGCTGTGGGGGAGGTCACCGAACCCACCTGGCCAAGCCCCAGGCCAACCAAGGTGTCGAGTCCTCGGGTGTCTTAGGGCTCCGTGCTTAGCCCCGTTCGTGGGGGCAAAGTAGTGTGGCCTTTGCAGTACAGGCCTGGTGCTGGGGACTGACCAAGGATGTGGATGCCCTGGGGCTCATGGGCGGTGACCTTGTGGGGACTGCCGTCTGCTTAGGCAGGAGTGACCAGGGATGGACTGTGGTCAGTGAGCTGGGTGTTTGGGGCCAACGGCATTGTGAAGTTTGCTGCTCCACGACACGACCGCTGGGAAGTCTGGTCAGAGACGTGTGTCTGGAGCTGTGCTCACGGCCAGGGATCTGTCCCCCTCACCCTAGGTGGGGCCACACACCACTGAACTTGAATTTGAGCAGATGCGGCAGCTGCGCTGAGGAGGGAGAGAATGTTCCAGAAGGGGTGCCGAGGGCGGGCCACATGCAGAAGTGGGTGTCACTCAGGCCTGGGCTGGGGAGGGCCTCACCTGGCAAAGAGCAGGGCCCCTGCCTTCACCTCCACAGCGGGAGGCCTGGCCCCGTAAGTGTCCACATGCAGCTGTGACCAGGGGCTCCTGTGGGCATTTGGCTCAGGGAAGGGAGGCAGTGGAAGAAAGCACTTTGACAAATGTAGAGAGAAAGTAGCCCAGTGGTGTCCAGTGTGGTTGCTGGGCGTGGGGCAGGGAGTTGCCCCTGCAAACGTGGAGGGCGGGGGCGAGATGCGGTGGGGGTTTCAGTTCCTGGGAACGATAAAGGGGATAGCTCCCTAGGCAGAGTCACGGCCTGGCACAGAGGATGCTCTGTGGTTTTTTATTACTGTTAAAGTGTCCCTTTTTTTTTTTTTCCCCAAAACGCTGCAAATCCACCATATAATCTAAAAATAGACACATGCAGAAGGACATTACCCCCCGCCTCCCCCCCCAGGCATAGCGGCCTTGGGGTGTGTTGCATGGGCCTGTGGAGGCATTTCCGTGCCAGGGAGGCCTGTGCAGACTGTGCCCTGGGCAGCGGGGGGCGGGGGGGGGGGCTGCCGGTCAGTGCCCAGCTTCCTGCACGTAGGGCCGGGAGCCGCCTTCACCCCACTTGGCATTGCTCACCTTGGGGTGAAGCTGCCAAGAGCACTTCCAACAAGTCTGTCGAGGCCCGAGGGCTGGGGGTGGGCGTGGGGAGCAGGCGGCCGGCCCCCAGGCTTCCCCCGTGTATGGGGGGTCTCAGAGACCCTCCTGGCCTTTGTGAACCGAAAGCTGAGCTCGCAGGACTGAGGGCGTTTGTCTCAGAGGCTCCATGAAGGGGGTTGAAGTGCAGGGAAGCACATGGCAGAGCTTCTGCCCCAGTGGCTGTCCCAGGGTGCCATGTGCGGTGCATCCATGGGGGGAGAGGTGGGCACAGCCCAGCACGAGGTACTGACGAGGGCCCTCCCCCCAGGAGTCCTTCATGCCCACCGAGGAGCATGTGCTGGTGGTGCGGCTGCTGCTGAAGCACCTGCACGCCTTCGCCAACAGCCTGCGGCCCGAGCAGGCCTCGCCCTCTGCCCACTCCCACGCCGCCAGCCCCCTGGAGGAGTTCAAACGGTGGGTATGGGCTGTGGGCAGGGGGGCAGTCACCTCGAGCCCTCCTGGGACTGTCTCCTCACTGCCACCCTGGCCCAGAGGTGGGTGGGGGCCGCCTGGCTGCTTCTCAGGCTGGCCTAGGAGAGGCCCCATCTTGCTGCCCCCTCTTCCCCCTTCTTCCCCTGTGGCAGGAGAGCAGCTGGCTGCTCGGTGCTGCACCTCACCCCCACCCCACCCCACCCCGGCAGGGCAAGGGCCGTGGCCTGACTCCCAGGCCAACAGGGCCAGCAGAGCTGGCGATGCGTGGGCCGTGCTGAGCTGAGGCGCACACAGGAGCCACACTGGATTGGCCACGTGTGTTGTGTGTCCCTGGAATGTTCTCTAACTTCTCTGAACTTTGGAATTTCCTCTGAGGAATGGGGCTAAAAATAGGAGGCCTTGCCCCCAGGGGGTGCCAGGCTCCCCTGTGAGGTGATGCCCCCTCTCCCACAGGGCCGCCGTCCCGAGGTTTGTCCAGCAGAAGCTCTACCTCTTTCTGCAGCACTGCTTTGGCCACTGGCCCCTGGACGCGTCGTTCAGAGCTGTGAGTGTTGTCCTACGGCTTTTGCCCTGCGTGTGTGCATGAGGGAAGGGAGGCCTTGGGGGCCTCTTGTGCTGTTCCGCCAGCCGCGACCTTGAACCCAGCTGTCCACGCAGGGTGGGTTCCCAGCTTCACGCACTGCCCTCCGCTGCACTCGGGGGAAAGCCTGCTGGGTGACCTGTTCTGAGGGACCAGGCATCTTGAGGGGGCACGGGCTCCCCCTGTGCCCCTGCTCACCTGAGCGCCAGCCACCTGCCCCAGCTGCACGTGTTTCCCCAGGTCCTGGAGATGTGGCTGAGCTACCTGCAGCCCTGGAGGTACGCGCCTGAGAAGCAGGCCCCGAGCAGCGACTGCCAGGCCCGGAGTGTGTCAGAGAGATGGTGAGCCCAGACCCGAGGTCCTGCAGGCAGGGGGCCCGGGCCACCCCCTTGTCCCCTGCTGGGACTTGCCCAGGTTCCAGGATTGCTCTCTTGGGGACAACGGGCGGCCTCTGTCCTTCTGTCCCTTTCCCACATTGACTCACATAAACCTCCCCATAGCCCTTCCTAGCCAGCCCTGCAGTGTGGCTGCCCCGCCCCCAGTGGCCTTGTTCCTGGGAATGGGCCTCGTCTGTGGAGGATTCTGTCCTTGGGGCCTCACCTTTGCCCACTTGTCCTGCCCCCTCGTGTCACCCCCGGCCCCTCTGCCACCATTCGTGATACCTGGGGGAGACCAGAAGCTGAGGAGAAGCCCTGATGTCCGTCCGCCCGCAGGGCGCCCTTCGTGCAAGAGAACCTGCTTGTGTACACCAAGCTCTTCCTCGGCTTCCTGAGCCGCGCACTGCGCACGGACCTCGTCAGCCCCAAGAACGCACTCATGGTGTTCCGCGTGGCCAAGGTCTTCGCGCAGCCAAACCTGGCTGAGATGATCCAGCGGGGTGAGGCCCCTGCCAGCCCTGTCACCCGTGCGCTCGCGGGGGTTGCGTGTGTGCCCCACAGGAGGGGAACGGAGCTCTGAGCCGCATCCCCTGGTGGCTCATAGTGGCTTTGGGAGGCTGTGGGCTGCTGTTGGGCTCTTCTCATAGCTACTCCCCTGTGGAGATGGGTGGGGGTAGAGGGACTTCCGGGAGCTGGGCCTGCGCCATGCGGTCACTGCCCTCGGGGACCTATGGTGGGACCCGATGTCCATGCTCTTGGAGCCGCAGCCAGGCTCACATCCTGCCTTCCAGGCGAGCAGCTGTTTCTGGAGCCCGAGCTGGTCATGCCCCACCGCCAGCACCGGCTCTTCACGGTGCCCACGTTCACTGGCAGCTTCCTGTCGTCATGGCCACCAGCCATCACCGACGCCTCCTTCAAGGTGAAGAGCCACGTGTACAGCCTGGAGGGCCAGGACTGCAAGTACACCCCAATGTTCGGGCCCGAGATCCGGGCACTGGTGAGTAGTCGGGGCCCTCTGGGCCCTGGCATTTCACACCCCTTCCCTGTCTTGTTCAGTGGAGTCTAGTTTTTTTCTGATGATAGATGTACCCTCTTGGAAAGTGCACCTTAGTCCTTAAAACTCATTTTAAGTTTTCCATCGTGTGGAAGCCACCCCTGGGCTGTCAGTGCCATGAGGCGGCCCCGAGCCAGCTAACCGCCCACCCACCCACCCACAGGTCTTGCGTCTGGCTCAGCTTATCACACAGGCCAAGCAGACGGCCAAGTCCCTCTCTGACCAACATGGGGAGAGCACGGCCGCCCGTCCCTTCCTGTCGTGGCTGGGCTTCTACCCCGCGGACACCAATGGCTCCTACCCAGGCAATGACCTGGATGAGATGGGGCAGGACAGCGTCCGCAAGACGGACGAGTACCTGGAGAAGGCCCTGGAGTACCTGTGCCAAGTGTTCCGGGTACGCCCTTGGCCCTGCTCACCTCCCCCAGGTGTCACGTGCCTGGGCCCCTCGTTGCCGTTTGAGGCCCAGCGGGGGGAAGGCCTCCCTCCACCTTGGAAGTGACGGCAGGCATCTCCCCGACAGCTCAGCGAGGCCCAGCTCGCCCAGCTCACACTCGCCCTGGGGACCACGCAGGATGAGAACGGGAAGAAGCAGCTCCCAGACTGCATCGTGGGGGAGGACGGACTCATCCTCACACCCCTGGGCCGGTATCAGGTGAGGCCCACATCCCGAGGGGTCGGGCTTTCCAGGGCCCTCTGTTCAGTGTGGCCATGGCTCCCGGGGGCTCACCTTCTACTGCTTCCAGATCATCAACGGGCTTCGGCGCTTTGACATCGAGTACCAAGGAGACTCGGAGCTGCAGCCCATCCGGAGCTACGAGATTGCCAGCCTGGTCCGAGTGCTCTTCCGACTGTCCTCCGCCATCAACCGCAGGGTGAGTGTGGGAGGGAGGGCCGCCCCCCCGCCCCGCGAGCGGCAGGTGAGAGTGGGGCCTGTCTGTGCTCTAGTTCGCAGGTCAGATGGCGGCCCTGTGTTCGCGGGCCGACTTCCTCGGCAGCTTCTGTCGCTACCACCTCCTGGAGCCTGGGCTGTCGGACAGGCGCCTGCTGAGCCCCGTGGGGCGGGGGCATGCGGCCAGCCTTGCCCGGGGCCCCCGGCTCAGCCTGCGCTTCCTGGGCAGCTACCGGACGCTGCTGGCCCTGCTGCTGGCCTTCTTCGTGGCCTCTCTGTTCTGCATCGGGCCCCTGCTCTGTGCCCTGCTCCTCGTGCTGGGCTATGTCCTCTATGCCACGGCCATGACACTGCTAACCGATCAGGGCAAGCTGCACCAGCTCTGACTGCAGGCCGGCCACCACCCCCAGGCACCAGGGAGGCCACTCTGCACCCAACACCTGTCACCTTCGTGCTTCCAGGGGGCGTTTTCTTGCAGCCCTGGAACCATCTGAAGAGAACCTGAAAAGCGAGGGCAGGGCCAGGCAGAGAGGTAGCCACACGGGGCGGGCAGCCTGCCGGCCCTGGGCCTCCCCGTTTCCTCAGCCAGAGGGCCTGCAGGGCGACGCCTTTCTCTTCCTCAGCGTGTGAAGCTCAGGAGCTGGGCCTCCCCGGATGGCCTGCGGCCTCTGCCTTTGCCGCCCTGGAGGTGGGCGGTGAGACCCCAACATGGGAACCCAGCCTCTGGCTCCAGAAAATAATCAGGCCCTAAAAGAGAGCCCTAAGAAAATTAGACAATGGTTCTCTGTTTCATGATTTTAAACCTGATTTTGCTACCACGTTTGGCAAAGTTAGGGCCACTGTATTTTCCCAGTAGTTCCAAGTCTGGGCCATATGCCTGCTTTTGAGGAGAGACCCTCCGAGAACACAGATGCCCCCAGGCCACAGAGCAGGTCGTCAGGGCTGTCACCACCTTGTTCCCTGTGGGTGGTCTACAACCAAAGATGGTCAAAAGCATCATTTGTATCCTCAGTCAAATCAAGCACTCAAAGACACTGATTTTTTGGTAAGATTTAAATATCCAAAGTATATGACAAATGCGAGTTCACTGTCAGAAATCCTCACAGCATCTCACACGCGTTTCATTCTACAGATGACGCACCAGGGAGAACTTTTCAACTGAGATTTTTAAAAGCCTTAGTCTTTGGTGTATTTTTTTAAGTTTTCAAACTGTAAGTATTGGGCTTTGTATTTTGATGTAAACTCGGAGTAGTGGCATTTGGGGCCTGTGACCAGTAACCAAACCAAACTTGTAGCCGACCACGGATCTGAATAAACCTGTTCTCGGTCCTGAGTCTTGTGGTGCCTGGCCCCGCCCCCAGGGTGGCCTCCTACATGGGGTCCTCTGCACACTCAGGGGCTGCGGAAATGCCACTGGGCACCCAGCGTCCCTCACCATGGGATTCCCTTGGGCAGATGCAAACACGGACGTGGCTGTGATGGGACAGGGCAGCCACTGGCAGGTCTGAGATGTGAGAACACTGCCTACAACTCAGTGGGGCAGACATGGTCTTCATACTAAGAGCTAGGATCCTGGGACCCGTGTTGCAATTTCTGTGGCTTCTGCAGGGGTGCGTGTGACCAGGGAACCGAAATGCACTCACCAACCCACATGGCCTAGCCCGAGTGTTAAATGTCCCCCTTTCCCTGGGCCAGGCAACGGCTTTGGTCAAATTCTATGGAAATAGGAAGTAAGACAGAGTTTCTACAAGTTCACATTGATAGATTACGGGCTTTTGTTAACAAACTTCGTGAGATGATGGTCTGGGGTCTGCCGTCCGTGGCACCGGTCCCTGATGACGCCTCTTCTTGGCCTCCCCTGATGGACATCCGCCTGCTTGCGAGGGTAGGACCTGCCCCCCCACAATCTCTCCAGGGTTCTGCTCGCCCCCAAGCCTCACTTCACCTACACACCCATTAACCATAGAACAGCCACCTACTGCGTGCCACCCTCAGCTGTGCTGGGACACGTGGGGGACCTCATGGTGCAAAGTCCAGAAGTCAAAGATGAAGCAAACACTAAGGTCAAGGAGGGGCCAGCAGACTTACCTGGTGGCGCACTGGTTAAGAATCCGCCTGCCAATGCAGGGAACACAGGTTCAAGCCCTGGTCCGGGAAGATCCCATTTGCCGTGGAGCAACTAAGCCCATGTGCCCCAACTACTGAGCCTGTGCTCTAGAGCTCGCAAGCCACAGCTACTGAAACCAGTGCGCCTAGAACCCGTGCTTTGCAACAAGAGAAGCCACCGCAATGAGAAGCCCGCACACCGCGATGAAGAGTAGCCCCCACTTGGCCAGGGTGCCAGTGGTTGGGCCTGGGGCCTGGTTTTGGGGAGGGTGGTTTGGGGCCCATGGTGCTCAGTGGCTTGCGCCCAGGGAGCTGAGCGGATGAGGGCGATGGGGACCCTACCTTCACGATGACCCCGAGTTAGTTTGCGGGGCTCTAGCTGCAGAGTAGAGAAAGGCATGGATGGAGCAGAGGCAGAAGTGTCACTGAGCCAGATGCTGAGACGCCGAGGTTCACAGCAGAGAAAAGAGGCTGCCTACCCAAGGGCCGAGGATGGGTATTTACAGGATGAGGCTGAGGCACAGGAGGTGGGGAAAGGTGATTGGAAATAAGAAAATGGTGAGGCAGCCGTTCTGTGAGGGACACAGGTTCTGAGGGGCAGTGCCTGGCCTGACGGCATAGGTGGAAACTAAGTCCCGTGACTAGTTTACAATTAAATTCTGGTTCCCTTCCTTCCCGGCTGCGCGTACATGGTCACGTTTGCCTCATCAATAAAGAGCAATGCAGGTCAGGTGCCTGGAGCCTCAGCTTCCCAATAAGCATCACGTTCACGTGCCATTCTGAGTCATCTTCCGGGGCAAGATGGCCTGTACAGGTTACAGAGACAGAGACCCCCAGGTCACAGACGATTAAGGTGATGAACCCCAGCCCCTTTATACGTCCCCTTTAAAAACCACTAACTCAGAGGCCACGTTGCAGTGGGTCTGAGGCCTGCCCCCCACTCCCTTGCTCGGCACCCTGCAAACAACATCCTTAGTTTGCTGCAAAGCCTGCTGTCAGAGGTTGACTTGCTGCCCGCAGGTACATGAGCCCAGCGCTCAGTTTCAGTTGGAGGGTTGGTGGTCCTAACCACTCACCAGCTCAGCTCGAACTGGACACAGCTGATACCAAGTTCCTGAAGCAACAACTCAGGCAAAAGTCTTACCGTTTAGGCTCCGTGCCACTCAGAGGATACGCAAATTTTCACAAAAACAATTCAAGCGATGCTGCAACTAGAGAAAGCCCGCACACAGCAACGAAGACCCAACGCAGCCAAAAAAATAAATAAATTTTTTTTAAAAAGCAGCTGTTGTTAAAAAACTGAAGTGAACTTGGTCGGGGAAGGCAGATCATAGGTGGATTGGATCTAGCTGATGCCAATCCTCAGGGCCCTTGGTTTCAGAGCTGCAGCAGTGGAAAGGCGGGGGGGGGGGGGGGGGGGGGGGGGCCGCGGGGGGGGGGGGGGGGGGGGGGGGGGGGCCGCATCTAGGGGGGACACACCCGAGGAGAGGCTGCTGGCCCGGCTCCCGGAGGTCAGGCTGAAGATGGGGGTTGTCTCCGTGTTTCCCCTCACCTCACCGAAGCCTCTGGTGGTTTATGCCAACTGCCCAACCCCTCAACTCCCCCAACACCCCGATTTTCACCCTCTGGCCACCACCCCAACCGCTGCCAAAGGGTCAAACCTGGTTGCCTCTCAGAGCCCCCGGCTCTGGCCTCCGGGCGGCATCTCCCAGCCCCGCAGCCCACGCTGGACTCACTGTCCTTCATGACCTGTTTCCCATGAGGCATCCAGTAACATCCAAGCGTCTGTGTCCTACAGAACGTCCTCCGGAAAGCTTGGGGTTTGTGTATCTGAAATCTCCAACAAGACCCGAGCTTGGGGCAGCCAGTCAAGGGGGAGCTGCTGACTCAGCTGGCCCCACCACCCGGAAGTGGCCTCTGACCTCCCCTTCCAGGAGGCCAGGGGTTTCTGCTGGGCTCTCAGGTGGTCTCTGAGGGTCTGCACCCCCTCCCTCCCCACCAGGGGACCCCCGCCCCCCCAAGCCTCCCCTTCCCTCCACCTCCCAGGCTGGACTAAGAGCCCCCTCTGTACTCACCCGCCCTGGTCCACAAATAAAAGCAAAGAGATACTTCTTGTCACTTGTGTGATGCTGGGCACTTCAAGATGCTGAATAAATACTTGTGACTGATTCTCCGACGTGTATGTTTGCTCCTTGTGGACAATTATTGTACTTTTTCTCTCCAGCACTGAGCAAGCACATAGTAGCTGCTCAATAAATAACTTATTTTACCTATTATATACACATCCAGCTCCTCACATCTCAGGAATCAAAATATGAACTATTGGATAAATTAATTTGTACATGAGCAGAAAAGGATTAGGATAGGAAAAGGTGCTCTTCAGTCTAACGTTGAACAAAAACCAACGAGGAAACGTGTGGTCACTGTGTTGAAGGGACCTGTCCAACATTCAGATCATAGACGGACGTATAAGAAAGGGCTAAAACTAGAACTGTCAAGAGAAAACACAGGAGTAAATATTCATAACTGTGAAGTACTAATGGTTTTTCAGATATGACACCAAAAGCGCAAGTGACAAAAATTCAGAGAAATGAAAATATGTACAACAATATACATGTTTTCCCATCATATTACTTTTTTTTTTTTTTTTTGCGGTACGCGTGCCTCTCACTGCCGCGGCCCCTCCTGTTGCAGAGCACATGCTCCGGACACACAGGCCCAGCGGCCATGGCCCACGGACCCAGCCACTCCGAGGCATGTGGGATCCTCCTGGACCGAGGCATGAACCCGTGTCCCCTGCATTGGCAGGCAGACTCTCAACCACTGCGCCACCAGGGAAGCCCCATATTACTTTTTTTTTTTTTAAACCCTTTTCTGCACATTGCTTTCCCTGTTCATAAATTGGAAATGTAATAACACTTGCCTTGACAAATTTATTTCAAGGATGAAATGAGATAATGCACAGGAACTCTAGGCTCTTATATGACTGCAAAGGAGTGGAGGGTGCCACATCGCAGCCCTCAGCTGTGGCTGAAAAGATAGTCATCATTTCCCATGTGACACTTGTTTACTTAAATCAGCAGGTAATTCCAATTCTAAAAATATTCCCCCTGAGAGTCAGTAGGTGAAAACGTTTTCTCCCTGTTAATTGAAGCACATCTTACGGTGCTGACAATTGGTGCAGCAGCAGGAGCCTCCTCTCAGACTGCACACCTGGCCCTTACTGTCACTGGAACAGTCAGCCTGTCCTTGACTTTGCCCTGGAGGGTTAGGATGGCCCAGGAGAGCAAAAATAGGATGAGCCCAGAAAATACTGTGTAGCAATAAAAAACAAAGGCAGGCAGCTCATGGAAGCAACCTAAATGCCCATCGACAGATGAATGGATAAAGAAGATGTGGTACGGGGCTTCCCTGGTGGCACAGTGGTTGAGAGTCTGCCTGCTAATGCAGGGGACACGGGTTCGAGCCCTGGTCTGGGAGGATCCCACATGCCACGGAGCAACTAGGCCCATGAGCCACAACTACTGAGCCTGTGTGTCTGGAGCCTGTGCTCTGCAACGAGAGGCTGCAATACTGAGAGGCCCGTGCACCGCGATTAAGAGTGGCCCCTGCTTGCCATAACTAGGGAAAGCCCTCGCACAGAAACGAAGACCCAACACAGCAAAAATAAATAAATAATTTAATAAACTCCTACCCCCAACATCTAAAAAAAAAAAAAAGAGAAGATGTGGCACATATATACAGTGGAATATTACTCAGCCATAAAAAGGAACGAAATTGGGTCATTTGTTGAGACGTGGATGGATCTACAGACTGTCATACAGAATGAAGTAAGTCAGAAGGAGAAAAACAAATATCGTATATTAACGCATATATGTGGAACCTAGAAAAACGGTACAGACGAACTGGTTTGCAGGGCAGAAACTGAGACACAGATGTAGAGAACAAATGTATGGACACCAAGGGGGGAAAGTGGCAGGGGGGTGGAGGTGGGGGTGTGATGAATTGGGCGATTGGGACTGACATGTATACACTGATGTGTATAAAATTGATGACTAATAAGAACCTGCTGTATAAAAAAATAAAATTCAAAAAAATAAAAATAAAATGCTAAAAAAAATAAAATTAAAAAACAAAGGCAGGAACTCATGAACTCCCTGGAATGTTCTCTAAGACCTGCTGTTAAAACATAAACCAGGGACTTCCCTGGTGACGCAGTGGTT